GTTGATAAGCTAGTTAATATAAGCTGAAGGATTAAGTTGTTGCTGCCACGGCCAAAATGTGAAGGGGAGCCTTGGCGCAATGGTAAAGCTGCTGCCTTGTGACCATGAGGTCACGGGTTCAAGTCCTGGAAACAGCCTCTTGCAGAAATGTAGGGAAAGGCTGCGTACAATAGACCCAAAGTGGTTGGACCCTTCCCCAGACCCTGCGCAAGCGGGAGCTACATGCATTGGGGCTGCCCTTTTTTTTTTTTTTGCCACGGCCAAAATGTTTGATGCATCAGATGAAGTATTACTGCAGTAACCAAAAAAACAGCAGAAATAGAGCAAAGTGACATTTGATTAACAGGAAACACATGATGGTTTGCACAGAGCAAGTGGCATAGCAAATCAATCTAGAAATCGATGTATGAAATACAGACTAATCCCAACCTTAATTAAACACATTGTTGCAACACAGAACAATCATAAATGATGCCTGCTACAAATGCATCTAATAAAATAGCAGAAACGGGGCAACTGATGTTCCTGATTTGGCCATGCACTAACTATTCCGCAAGCAAATGCAATCCGTCAGGGGCTCCTGGTAAAAGAATAGCAAAACAATCCAACTCCCAAGCACACACAATTTTGCATCACAGAAGATAGTACAATTTTACGTAACAGAAATGCAGCAGAACAAAGTCAGAGACAAGGTATTTCAGAGACATGTTTGATTTCTAACAAACTGCGAATAACTTTGCTCCACGATTCAGTACGAAATACAGAGGAAATAGCGAACTACAGAGGAACTAGCGAACTACACAAGTCGCGGTATCATCAAACTTTCGGGATCTGCAGTGGGGTGGCGAGGAAGAGCCTAGCCGCCGAAGCCGTAGAGGGTGCGGCCCTGGCGCTTGAGCGCGTAGACGACGTCCATGGCGGTGACGGTCTTGCGGCGGGCGTGCTCCGTGTAGGTGACGGCGTCGCGGATGACGTTCTCGAGGAAGATCTTGAGCACGCCGCGGGTCTCCTCGTAGATGAGGCCGGAGATGCGCTTCACGCCGCCCCTCCGAGCGAGGCGCCGGATCGCCGGCTTGGTGATGCCCTGGATGTTGTCGCGCAGCACCTTCCGGTGGCGCTTGGCGCCGCCCTTGCCGAGCCCCTTGCCTCCCTTGCCGCGGCCGGACATGGCTGACGGTCTCTCCTTGGTTCGAGCTGCGAGCGGACGGAGGAGGTTGAGGAGCGGTGGTGAATTGTGTTGTGAGATTTGCCGGATGTGGGGAGGGGATTTTAAGGTGGACGAGAGGTGGGAGGAGGCGCGTTGCTGCCGTTCGATGCAGATGGAATGCACGGTTGAGATTGCGATCCGGGGGACGGATGCCGCGGATCGATGACCTGGCGGGAGGCGCCGATTGCGGGAATGGCCGCCGGCGCCAAAGTTTTGGGCTGTGGGCGGGGCGCGATGTTTTCGCGCTGGTGCACACAATGGCGCGAACTAGGAACGGCACGGAGTCTGTCCGGTCCCCGTCGATTTTACCAAAATATTGTGTGTGTGTGTGTGTGTGTGTGTGTGTGTGTTTTTGAGAAAACATTGTTTTTCTGAGCAAGGTAATTCCACAAAGTTTTCTTAACTAGGCAACCTAGTTCTAGGGACAAAAGAAAATTTGAAGAAAATGAAAAGTAAAATTTGGCATTGAAAAATTTATTTCATGTGAATCTTTAGATCAAGATAAAAAATTATGAAAATTGTGAGGTGGAGCGGACGGGGACGGGTAATACCCACCAATTTTATTTGGTAAGTCTAAGGGCAACTCCAATGGAAAACCCTAACGAAAATGGTATTTGTTCGCGGACACGTCAGACAATGATGCGAGAGCCGGCCATCCAATAGGATTTGAAACAAACCGAACGAATTTCATGCAAACCGGATGATTTTCATCTAAAGGCCAAAATTGTTACATTTTCAACACAACTAAACTATAGCGGGCTAAAGTTTTTAACCCGGTCTAAATGATCGTCGGCCGCGGCAGTGCCTATTTTCCCAGGACATGTCTTCCCCATGTCCGGCGAGCTCACCGGCTGCCCGAGAGTCCCGAAAAATGAAGTTGCGGGAGGGGAAGAATAGTAGTGGCCTTTCTGGGAAACAATTATCTCACTCCAACGGAGGCTTGCAACAAACAACTCAACTCTTACACACTCGTGATGATAAAAATGGGAACATCAACTCCGACAAGCAACTATAGGTTGCTCCAGTGTTGACCATAAGGAGGGAAATAGCCAAAATTTCAGCAAAATGTTTTAGGCGCCCGACATCCGGGCAGCAAGCCAGACGTCCGCCCGCTAGAGCTATGACCAAATTTTCCAGTCAAATATTTTTGCACAAACATATTAGGTGCTGCACGTCCAAGTCGCTAGTGAGACATCCGGGCTAGGGGTTGCGCCCTGCTGTGCCAAGTCTCTTGCGACGCCGTGTCAGGTGTCGGACATATGGGCACTGAAAACATAGGGCGGCGGGGCAAATGACCAATTTTCCATTCTCTCATCCATAGTTTTTGAAAATGGACCAGACCGGTTGTCCGACTGAAAAAACCAGGAACCGATGCCTTGCCTGGTTTTTAAGGTGTACTGTTTTTTTAGTAAAAAAATATTTAGAAAAAGGCGCACATCAAGTTTCAGACGCCCCAGCACTGAAAATCACATCAAAATACAGGTACACGTCAAGGAAGCAAAGATGCTTCACAAATTGCTTATCTGGGTGAGATCTCTCCTCATCATACTATATCCTTGGTTTAATCTTCTTTGCTCTGCTCTTCCTACTACCGAGAAACACATATGCCATTGTCCGGCACCATCATCATCTTCCAGACACAAGTCCAGAGGTTTCCTGTCCTCGTCAGATGATGGTACCGGTCCTTCTCACACAAGTGCTCTATACTTCCATGTGATCTACTTGTTGGCTTTTTTGTGTGTCTCTTGTCCTTTTTCTTCGTCTACAGATCTTGCCCACCCTCTTGATCCTCTTCCTCCAATTTCTACTCCTCTTGATCATCATCATCCTCTTCTTCACCCGATTGCTCATACAGTTCCTCCTCCTCCTCTGTCTCACACATCTCCTCAACATATGTATCCCCTTCATAATGTAGTAATGGATCATTCCTCCGTCTCTTCATTTCCTCAAGCCTATCAAGGATATCACCATATTATATCAAATTGTCATCATCACTGTCCTCTTCATTGTCCATAACTGCAGATTCCTTTTCAAAAGAGTGGCCTTCTATTTTCCTTTCTTATTCTTCTTGAACATTGCATTTTCCTTTCTCCTTTTCTCCTCCATAAATTCTTCTTTTTGCAATTGCTCCTCTGAATTGTTTGTGCTATTTTGTGTTTGAAACTGTATTGGCATTGGCTGCTGTTTTGCTGCTGCATCTGAATTTTCTGCTGCTACATCTACACGATGTGCATTGAACTAAACTCCTTCTTGATCTACCTGATACAGTTGGGGATCTCTAACTTCCTGCAGAGGGATTTGCCACTCAATAACATTAGCATTGTTGTTTATATGTGTAGATTTTGGGAAATTGGCCCTAAGAACTGTCACATTCAAGATCTTCTGCTTCTGCATGATTGTGGTTGAAATTTCCCCCCAGCCTGTCATCATCCCATATTTCTTCCGTTCCTTCTATCCCTCGGCCTGGATCCTTTACATAGTACATGTAATCCCTCAAAACATATCCTTCAGTCTCTATCAGTGCTACTAGATTGTAAAATATGATGTATCGTATGACAACATCATAGTTCTCTTGAGATTGTCTCTGTCATGGAAATGCGTCCTCAATTCACAAAACTCATCATCCAAACCGCAAATAATAAAATTAACATAGCAGTGCAGTATAAGTGTTTAATTAGAACACTTCCTAAAAAGCAGAACAACAAGAAAACAGAGCAATACAAAGCTTTGGGTTAATTAGAAAACAGTGCAATACAAAGCAACATAGTACACTAACCCCCACTTTGGTTAATTAAAGCTTTGGCACATTAAAAAACCATACACAAACACGGTAGAATAAAATGCGTTGGTTAATTAGAGAGCATTTTAACAACAACTAATTTGACATAGCACACCCAACCATAGGGTTAGACAACACCTAATTTTAACTAAATAACACACAAACATCACCTAATTTCAACTTAATCACCTAATTTCGCAAAAAAATCATAGCGATAACAAACCCTAGGCCCAACAATATGCAATTGTTATCCTAACCCTAGTAACGGATCAATAGGGATGAGATAAAGGAATGGAGAAGGGGAGGGGGATCTTACTATACGCCGCCGAAGGATGACGCGATATGGTGGTTTGTCGGATTGACCTTCACCGTCGCGACGAAGGCTCTGGCCATCACGTATTCCACTGAATATTGCAGCTCCACATTCTCCGTCGCCTTGCTAGGGTTCAAGCTCCCGCAAAGCTCATATGGCTCGGGATCCGCGTCGTTGGCGCCACTGCCGGGTGGCCCGCCGCCGTCAGCACCGCCTGGTTTCGCCGGGGTACCCATCTGCGTAGTGCGAGGGGGGGTGGGAGCGGGAAGAAGCGGGAAGGGAGAAGGAGGGGGGAATGCGGATGCGGCGCAAGCGGGAAGGAAATATAGATGGCCCGAGCAGCGCATCTAACGGCTGTCGGGACGGCTGCCAGTGCCAGGTAGGCAAAAAACAGATCCCACCTGTCATAAATCCACTTAACAAAGCCTGATCCATCAATCAATGTTTTTTGCAAAACCATTACAGAAGACACGGTGTTTTCTGCAACAAAAGCATGACATATTGTTTTCCGCAAACCCAGCATTCAAACCGGTGATTTCCTACACTTTACTCGGAAAAATAATATTACTATGTCGCAACAGCCAACATGACATCAGCAATCTACACAGGAGGCTCTCACACTCTGCAGTTAAAAGCATAACTATTCCTACAGTCCTACGAGAAGAATTAACAGTACAGAGCCTTCCTCGTTGGATACCCTCCTACAACTGGATGGTGACGCCCCTGGCTCCCATGCCGGCGAGCCGCTGCTCCGCGGTGCCCATCTCCCTCTCGCCGCCGGCGCCCCTGGACACGTCGTGCCGCGTGGCGTCGAACTTCTCGCCGTCGCCCCACAGCGCGTAGGCCTCCTCCCCGTGCGCGGCGTCGTCGCCGATCATGAGCTGGTCGTCGGGCATCCGCAGCGGCACGAACAGCCCGATGCCGAGCAGGATGAGCGTGGTGACCACGAGGTTCCACACGATCACGAACGCCGCGCCGGCCAGCTGCTTGCCCACCTGCTTGATGCCGCCGCCGTAGAAGGCGCCCTTGGGCCCCGGCACCGACGACTCCATCATCATCAGCTCCGGCGTGGCCAGGAGCCCCGTGAGGACCCCGCCGAGGAGCCCCGCCACGGCGTGCGTGTGGAAGACGGCCAGCGTGTCGTCCACCTTCATCAGCAGCGCCGACTTCTTGTGCAGGATCATCATGGTGAACCACGGCACGCTGCCCGCGAAGATGCCCATCACCACGGCCGCCCACGTCTGCACCAGCCCTGTACGTAGATTAATGAAGAAATTTCATGTCAAAACACAATGAACTACTGTTGTTACGTTGGTGTGGACTTGTTAGCGTACTCTACGAGCTGTCTATTTGACTTTTTTGTGCTAGTAGTACTCCACGACAACACATTGATTGAGCGACGAAAACTCCGCCTACTCCTGTGATCCGTACGTGCTGCGTGCAATGAGATGTTTGGTACCTGCGCCGGGGGTGATGCAGACGAGGCCGGTCATCATGCCCTGGACGGCGCCGATGACGGACGGCTTGCCGAAGAAGATGACGTCGAGGCAGGTCCAGGTGAGGAGGCTCGTCGCCGCGCTGACGTTGGTGTTGAGCACGGCGATGGACGCCGTGATGTTGGCGGCGTAGGGCGCGCCGCCGTTGAACCCGGCCCACCCCATCCACAGCAGCCCGCCGCCGGCGATCATGAGCAGGATGTTGTTCGGGGAGAACCGCTCCCGGTCGCTCTTCAGCCTCGGTCCCACCTGCCAGCCACAACATGGTGCGAAATGAAATCGACTCACAGTTTGACATAACGGGATTGTTCGACCGAATCTTACTAAAAAAAAACCAGAAACAAACTTAGCTAGTTCACCATACTCCGTAGTTTTTCAGGAGCGACTTAATTGTGAGTTCTTCGTGAAGGAAGAAGAACCAATTGTGAATTTGTACAATAGTCGATGAACACAAGTACACAACGCGGGTGCCACACCAACAAGTTGGATAACGCGAGAGACAGCGACGCTGGATATTTGCAGCCTGTGTAACCGTGACCCGCCAGAGATTAAAAAATTGGGCGTTCCGTCCAGTACTAGTTCAAGTTGCCATCAACGACGCCGCGCGAGCGCCCACGGGCAGAGGCCAGCCGAAGCCAACGACGCGGTCCAACCGGTTCACACGTTCCATGAGGCAAAGCGGTTTTCTTGGACCCCTTTTCCGGGTGCCTGCAGCTATCACCGAAATACTTGTGCTCGTATCATGTGACCGCCCAAAGAAAGCAAAGAAAGTCTACAACGACTCGCGCTAATTTCTTCCGACACGGCTTATTTTTAGAAATCTTCCAACGTTACTTTGAAGAACATGTATCTACCCCAGAAAATTTCCGGTCCAGGCATCGGTAGAACTGTAGCTGTACTTTTACTCTGTGCTGTCATGTGTATTCCCGCGGTGGCATGGCAACGGCAATGGCATCCCAACGAGGAGTCCACATCGCTGTGCTGGGTCAAACTACTTGGCTAGCAACGACTGGCTGCTACCACCTAACACGTTAGCCGAACCCGATCGAGACGCCGCCGGAGCACCGGCCGCCGAACTGACATGGAGGGGAGGTAAGGAAGGAAGCTGCGCACGTACCCAGTAGGCGGCGGTGAAGCCGGCGATGCCGGAGGAGAGGTGGATGACGTAGCCGCCGGAGTAGTCGATGACGCCCCAGTGGTAGAGGAAGCCGCCGCCCCAGAGGCTGAAGGCGCCGACGGTGTAGGAGAGCATGAGCCAGAGCGGCGTGAAGGCCATCCAGGCCTTGATGTTCATGCGGCCCAGCACGGAGCCCGCCAGCAGGATGAGCGTGATGGCCGCGAACTCGAACTGGAACAGCACCAGCGTCGCCTCCGGGTAGAAGGGCTCCACCAGCGGCGTGCTCCCGCGCTCCGTCGCCGACAGCTTGGCGCGGCCGACGAGGTAGTCCTGCGACAGCGCCACGCCGGCCTTGCCCCAGAAGGGCAGCAGCCGCTCGCCGAACGCCATGCGGAACCCCACCAGCACCCACACCAGCAGCGAGGAGGCGTAGGCGTAGAGCGCCATGAAGGCCGAGTTGACGGCCCACTTCTTCTTCACGATGCTGCCGTAGAGGACGACCAGGCCCGGCATGGACTGGATGCCCACCATCGTCGCTGCCGTCAGCTGCCACGCGTTGTCGCCCTTGTTCAGCCAGTCCGGCACCGCCGGCGAGCCCGCCGCGTACGCCATCTCTCTCGACCGCGCGCGCTTTGTGCGGTGCCGGTGCCGGGGGAGAGGAGACGCGAGTCTGGTGGCCCGCTGCTTGGCAACCAGCGAGGCAGCCCGCGCGCTCGCGTTTAATAGGATCGATCATCCAGTTGAAAACGTTCAATCAGATCAAGAATATCTGTCCGACGTGTCAATTGCTGGTCAATTGCACGTGGCCCCCGACCCCACACGTCATTCACAGACCAGTGATTTTTTTAAATATTTTTTAGAGCAACTCCAACGAAGAGATCCATGTTCTCCGTTTGGGTCATCCATACAGAAAAGCGTCCGTCGGTTGTTCGTTTGTTGTCCATTCGGACCTAAACTAAACCCAAATTTGAGCCATAAATGGGTCCTCGCGGACAAAAGTGGACACTCTCGTCGCTTGCTCGTGTCCTCTCATGTCCGGCCTGGTCCCACACATCAGCAACCCGCACTAGCGATTCAGCCTCCGATCGGAGCATAGCGCCGTCCCCGCTCGTCCCAGCTCTCGCGCCGCCGCCCGCTCGTCCCGAGCTCCTGCGCCGCCGCACCAACCCCGTCCGTCGTTGCCCGGATTCGGCGCCGGCCGTCCAGATCCATCCGGTCCCGCGCGGATCCGCCGCCCCTCACCGGTCTTCGCGTTCCGCCGGCCCCCGTCGTCCTCAGCATCCTCTCGCCACGCCGTCGCCATGGACGCCTCCAGGGCATCAAGCAGGAGCTCGCCTACCGCCATGCTCGACCACCTCGACCTCCCCGAATCCGAATCCAAGCAGCAGCAGTGCCGGCCTGATTGCCTCCTCCACCTCCACGTCGTCCTCACCAACTTCCTCCACAAGCCCCTCAGGTCATTCTCGAGATGCTTCGGCAACGAGCACAACAAGCCCAAGCGAGGCCGGAGCAAACAGGCCACACTGCAACTCCTCGACGCCGGGAAAAGGCAGCCACAGCCGGCGAGACTTCATCTATATCCCTAAAAGTGGATTTGGATTCCCATTTATTCTTTGAATGACAACTGCAACTAGGCTTCACCTTAGAGAGGGTTTTCGGTTTGAGCTTCGCTGATAAGAAGGCTGATTTCGACGAGTTCCGCTCCAACCTGGGGTTCGCCAGGGTGGGGGTGCCGTCGACGAGCTTCACTGCTGACTCCCAGGCATTGGCTGCTGCATTCAACTCTGTCCATAACGGTCAATTCTGTCTGCTCGAGGGCTGTGCATTGGATACATCCACAGTCCGCCCTTGTCCATCCTATGTTCACTAGACGGACAAATGACCCAAACGAACAAAAAGAAGACAAAATCCGTGTCCGTTTAGGTCTTTGCGTTGGAGTTGCTCTTACCTCTTCGTGACGGCCCTTCATGTCCTCACCAAACCCACGATTTGTTTGTAGTACATTTGCGTACTGTTTAGTTACTGGCAACAGTTAACTAATCAAGTGGGTGGTAGTACGATTATGGTGTACGGGTTGCCGGGTTGGTGATGCGCATGAAGCAGCGAACGAGGGGGAGCCTCCGGGTCAACCCGGGCAGGCACGAACGGCCCATAGGACGTGGCGTGTTGCGTGGTGCATTTTTCATCCCTTATTTATATCTCCTTCTCCTTCTCTTCTTCCTCCAGATGTGACATGTCTTGATTTCTTCCCAAGAAAACAATATAAGTGAGTCGTTTCGTTTCAAGACTTGGGATTGTCTCTGTCTGTCTGTGTGCCCTGCTTCGTCAACTACTCGCGCACTCGGTCGAGGAGAATCTCAAAAGCAAAAAAATATAGACCCAAATATGTCCATTTCTCCCGTCAACCCCAGCATGAGATGGTTGGTGATAAGGTGCGACCAGTTGAGACTTGAGACCGACTAGAACGCCAGAAAAGGGAAATTAAATGGTAGGGGACGGGAAGATGTTTACGAAGGAGCGCAATTCGTAGACCGGGTTTTGCTGACCTTGACTGAGACTCGAGGTCGAGGAGCACGCACCGTCGATTTTCTCAGCATCCGCGGAGCAGTTGTGCCGAAGTTTACCTGGCAATCACTGGTACGCTTCGGCGTCCAGAGTTGTCATCAAGTATCTAATTTTTCTAAACGGTATGGATTCCTGGGAATGATTTGATTGTGGAGCAGTAGTGGTTAGATATTGTTGAATTCATGCATCAGTCAATTCTTCCAAAAATCCAAACTGATGAAGAAAGGTGGATAATATATTTTAATCCTACGTCTAGGCTATTTTAGTACTTAAATATGGGATTGATGTAGGCCGCAAAATCATTTTATTTAATACTACGTTGGCAGGATCTTTGAACTCAAGACCTTTTAGCTTGGATACCATGTTAAATTCATGCATCATTCAACTCATTCAAAAGTCCGAACTGATGAAGGAAGGTGGACAATATATTTCAACAGATATAACTGGAATATACTCCAAATCTGTGTTCCCCAATCAGAATCAGACTAGCTTTGATCATGATGGCGCCGTTTGGAACCTTGGATCATGGGGAGTTGCCAGTCGTACAGTGCATCTGAACACTAGTAGTCGGGTTAGCAGTGATATTCTTTCGTTCAGCAGTCCAGATCCCGAAGCTCCATAGTGGACCATATACTAGCAATCAAAAGAACAGAAACGAAAACCGAAGCTCCACGAAGTGGAGGCCACCTTTTGGTGTGCAACACAAGTTGCACAGCGTCAACAGTTTTCTAGCTACCACTTGAACTATACAACAGTAGCTCCCTGCAAGGCTATTACTTCTAACTCATGGAGCGCATGAGTGCACGTTATGGCGAATGTCCAGAGAGCAGAGTAGCCAGTTTCATTCTTTCTTCTTTGTATGTTACACATCATGTACTCCCTCCATTCCGATGAATAAAACATGCACGTTTCCAAAGTCCAACTTTGATCATAAATTAGATCAGTATAATATATTTGTGACTTCAAAATTACATCATCGAAAACTTATTCTCAAAACGAATTCAACGGTATATATTTACATATAGACCCGTTTGTTTGGGCTTTTTCCTGACTTTTCCACTTCAACTTGAAAGCCAAAAAACTCCTAAATAGGCGCTTTTGGCTTCAGCTTTTGACTTATGACTCAATATTGTTATATGATGGTATAAGCTAAAAGTCAAAGCCAAAAGCCTCTAAATAGGAGTTTTTTTGGCTTTTAAGCTGAAGTGGAAAAGTCAGGAAAAAGCCCAAACAAACAGGCCATAATCTATGTTTGATTGGTCTAATTTATGCACAAAGTTGAATTTCAGGATACGAGCCCACCTTATTCATTGGAATTGAGGGAGTAGTAGTAATCTACATGGCGGGGTGCAACATAACGCTGATCGGGCATGCTAGGTGTCGGGGGACATGTCCACCATCCCTCAATTGTGGACAAATTTCTGTCGGTTGCCTGATACCACATGAAATGAACAAACTTCTTTTCCGCCGTCGAAGGACTAGAGGGCTAACCTCCTGGATAGGCCAAAGCGAATCGAACACCATAGCTCACCGCATAAGTGGTACATGGGGAACATGTGCTAGTTTTATGATATGACAATACTGGTAGCATAATTCATTTAGGATTAACATTAAAACATTAGATAAATATTGAGGGCATGTGTAGCTACCACCATGGGTAGCAAATTATTTCCGTATATCTTAATCTCATGATTAGAACACCTAAACATATGTGAAAGATTACTAACCAGAATCGGTTGGGTCCATTAACAGCAGCGCATGCTTGCTCCTTGGGATCTTCGGTAGTGAGGACATGGCTGGGAAGAAGGGAAGCAGGACGGCCACATACTGACCTTGCGGTGGCCGACGGTGGTAGTCGGTCTTCTGATCACCTTAAGCACTTGTTTTTTAGGATTGGTAGTTTGTAGTTCTGGGTATAACCCATACACATGTGTGTCTCCCAAAGGGGTACGACATGCTCTTTATATAGGTGGCGCTAAAGGGACCAAGGACCGAAACCAATAGCTAGCTTTGGTGCCCCCGATCATGGCATGTACGTGGGTAAAAGGCTCCCTGTCGGTGTCAAAACCGGCGGATCTCAGGTAGGGGGTCCCGAACTGTGCGTCTAGGCGGATGGTAACAGGAGACAAGGGACACGATGTTTTTACCCAGGTTCGGGCCCTCTCGATGGAGGTAAAACCCTACTCCTGCTTGATTGATATTGATGATATGGGTAGTACAAGAGTAGATCTACCACGAGATCAAGGAGGCTAAACCCTAGAAGCTAGACTATGGTATGATTGTTCTTCGTCCTACGGACTAAAACCCTCCGGTTTATATAGACACCAGAGAGGGCTAGGGTTACACAGAGTCGGTTACAATGGTAGGAGGTCTACATATCCGTATCGCCAAGCTTGCCTTCCACGCCAAGGAAAGTCCCTTCCGGACACGGGATGAAGTCTTCAATCTTGTATCTTCATAGTCCAGGAGTCCGGCCGAAGGTATAGCCCGGCTATCCGGACACCCCCTAATCCAGGACTCCCTTAGTAGCCCCTGAACCAGGCTTCAATGACGACAAGTCCGGCGCGCGGATTGTCTTCGACATTGCAAGGCGGGTTCCTCCTCCAAGTACTTCATAGAAGATTTTGAACACAAAGGTAGTGTCCGGCTCTGCAAAATAAGTTTCCACATATTGCCATAGAGAGAATAATATTTACACAAATCTAATCCGCTAACGTATTCCGTAGCGTGACATCACACCACGGTCAAGTCTTTATTCGAATCGTTTTACTGTCCCACCTCAGCTCGTTTAGCGAGGCAGTTTCCTTGGCACGTCTTGTCAAAGCAGAGATCGTGTCCCCTTATTTTGGGATTCTCATCAATACGGGCGTGGGTAACCCAACCGCGCCATTGATTACGACGCTTGGGAGATAAGCGAGTTTTACCAGGCTGGTGGGGACGCATAGTCGCGTCCGCCCATATAAGGGGATAAGGATCCACCTTTTCATCCACGCCTTCTTCCTCCTTTACCTATCCATTTCCGCGCACTCGAGCTCCAGCGCCCAAGT